AATTTACAAAATTCTTGTACATTGTACTTTAATGTTAACTGTCCTTTTTTTCTTCTTTTAGAAGCGCAGTTGTCATAGTAATATGAATTTGAACATCCTTCCTCATCTTTTTTCTGCAGTTGTCATCGTAATATGACTTTGAACATCCTTCCTCATCTTTTTTCCTGTTCAGAAAATATATTTTTTTTTAATTGTTGTTTTGTTTTGTAAAATCATTTTCGGAAATACCAGGTTCAGATTTATCATGTTTTCTCTCATGATCTTTTTAAGCCCAAAGTTACACAATGGGCGGTCTGTGCTCCGCCCACCACGGGTATCGAAACCTGGTTTCTAGCGATATAAGTCCGCAGACGTACCGTTCTGCCACTGGGGGGACTTAATTAAAGATTATATTATTGTTTTTGTTTTTTAGGATCTCATGGTTGAATGTTATATTTCTTTTACAGATTAAGCCGAGTTTGGCCTAGTAGTTATCGTGCCGGACTGTGAATCTTAGGACCCATGGTTCAAGTCCCGTTTCTACAAAATCTTTCTCCGTACTTTGGGACTTTGGGTGCGTTAGAGTGATAGTCAAGTCCCAATTTTCAATAAGAGTAGCTCAAGTGTTGGCGGTGGGTGATACTGATTAGCTACCTTCACTCTAGTTTATAGTTCAAAATTAGGGACGGCTCGCTCAGGTAGCCCTTGTATAGTTTTGTGCGAATTCCCGGAACAAAATAAATACATAACATTTATAAATCAATTCTTAACTCGTGGATATAAAAAGTTTAAAAATACTAAACGAAAAGTAGTTCTGATACTTCGGTAAATTTTCAGTATATCAATAATCTGGTTTATGTATTTGTGTCTTTACATGTTTTACTGAAAATCAATACTTACGTAGAACGACTTTCCTCGGCGAATAATTTGTTACGTTCTAAGTACGTAACTAAATTACCTGTCTTACGTCTTAACGTCTAAAAATTATCATTTCTGTTTTCTTCTCACTCAACTGAAAAATTTATTAAATGCGGAAGGATTTAGGGAAACCGTAAAGTGCAATTCGATTTTCTAATGTGTGTCAGAATAATAGTTATAGAAATTCGCGCAAAACCTCACAAGGGCTATCTGTATTAGCCGTCCCTAATTCTGAACCGACAAACTAGAGAGAAGGCAGCTGGTCAACATCACCATCCGATTTGTTCTTTACTCTTATAATGCGCCAACGGTCCCAAAAGTGAAGATTGTGTTTATGCGACAACGGGACGGGAACCATTGACCCTTAGGTTCACTGTCCAGCACGACAGGTCACGTACGGCCCAACAATTCTAACAAGTGTTGCAAATTAATACGAAATAAGTGCAGTGTTTAATTGGACCTGGCATGGGTTGGTGGTTAGGGTACTCGACTCGCACTATGAGGGTCGAATCCCCGTCATTGAACATGATCGTCCTATATGGATGCTGACTGAAACGGCAACTCGGCCACAAACTCGTTGGAATTAAGGTCGTAAACCATAATACAGAGCAGTGCTTAACTATACGATAAAAGCGTACTTATTGTGTTTACAAAACCTTGATTTAAACGTGTCTTTTAGATCTGAATTAAAATGCATAACTTAAAAATCACCGATACGTAATGAAAATGTTATAAGTAATAGCGCTAAAACTTAGAACCTGTATTATTGATCTAAGTCCTCGTGAAGAGCGCCTGTCCTAAAAATTGTCCTGAATTATTTCTTCTCTCACGCATACATTTTAACGAGTGTTCAAATAATTTTGGTTATGTGATGAATGTTTTGACATCTTGAAGAAACGTACGATCATTATAGCGATGTGGTCATTTATCTGCTTTTCTTCGGATAACTCGCGATTACATCGTCCCCCGCCGGGAAAGCGGTAAGTCTTCGGATTTACAACGCTAAAATCAGGGGTTCGATTCCCCTCGGTGGACATAGCAGATAGCCTGATGTTGCTTTGCTATAAGAAAATACACGCGATTACATATTTATTTTCAGTTATTTCTTTCCATGATACGCAGGCCCGGCATGGCCAGGTGGTTAAGGCACTCGGCTAGCAATCTGCGGGTCGCGGGTTCGATTCCCCTCGGTGGACATAGCAGATAGCCTGATGTTGCTTTGCTATAAGAAAATACACGCGATTACATATTTATTTTCAGTTATTTCTTTCCATGATACGCAGACCCAACATGGCCAGGTGGTTAAGGCACTCGACTCGCAATCTGAGGGTCGCGGGTTCGAATCCCTGTCACACCAAACATGCTCGCCCTTTCAGCCGTGGGGGCGTTATAATGTGACGGTTAATCCCACTATTCGTTGGTAAAAT